TCTTGGATTCACATAGAAAATGCACAGGTATGCCACCCGATATGAGAATTGTGCTTGAGCCCGATGGCAGCAAGTCTCCTGATCCGATTTTGAGGAAACAGTGTTGTTTTATTGTAACAGTACTAATAGTTTCGTATCCACAGCATGTGCTGAGTGTGAATGTATTTATTAACATGAATTGTGAGAGGACCGATGACAGGAAATTGAGTACTCATCGACCCTCAATTAGGTTAGTTTATAGTAGGTGTAAAGAGCGGTAGAGGAATATTGAGTACTCCAACCCTAACATAACATGTAAATAGGAAAGATTTTATTTAAGGACGAATGAGAATGTGAATGGATTTTGATCTAGGAACTGCTTGAGAATGTGTCCTCAAAAGAAAATACTCCCCCCTGTTTATTTGCATCAAATACCACTTCCTACTGCAGATCATGTTAAAACTCGGGTCTGTACAATGACAATTATATGAAAAAGGAGAAAGATGATGTGGATTAGAGAAAATAATGACAGAGGGTAGAGGCTGTCAATCCACCAAATAAAAATTCAAAAAATTTAATGTGCAATGAAAGAAATGAGTTATCTTTTATGGTTAGATTAAATTTAATGTGTGGTGTTTAGTGACCGTTAGCCAATGATTATTTGGAGATAGTGAGGTGCGGTCTGGTGTGAAGTGGGTTTTAGAAAAACATTTTCTTTATCATGCCAACGTTTCGATCTTTATTGAGATCATCTTCAGGGCTCAAAGTGTTTGTTTTCCGTGTAGATGTCTTCTCAACACGACACATAAGGATGACACATCTACACGGAAAACAAACACTTTGAGCCCTGAAGATGATCTCAATAAAGATCGAAACGTTGGCACGATAAAGAAAATGTTTTTCTAAAACCTGCGTCACACCAGACCGCACCTCACGATGTGCAAATAATCATTAAATTTAATGCTAAAATTTTATAACATGTGGGATTCACCACTCTCCCAGTTCTGTGGCGGGGTGTTTTATGAACAATTTTCCTGAACTCCAGACATAATGAAATAAAATTATTTTCGAAATTGAAGAAAATTGTACTGTCAATTTCCTTTATTTTAATCTATAAACATCTAACCAAGTCTTAGTTTTGAAGATATATAAAAAACCTACCACAACCGATACAATGATTCCACCCATTCGACGCTCTAAACACATTGATTGCACGAATCATCAGGCTTCATTTAATTGCTCGGTTGAGCAATCAGACTACCATTATCAAAATGGAACTTAGAACAATATAAATTAGGTAAGAATTGAGAATAATTAGGTAGTAGGCTCACATTAATGGCTACTTGACGTAGTTTATCAACAACCTTCTAAAAAGTGCTAAAGTCATTAACAATTCTTAATATAATTCTAGACATCCAAAGTTGAATTGAAATTTTTTAAAAACATTTTTCACCTACCTATAACTCCCCCAGCCACTATATCAGGGTTGAAATTAATTTTAAATCTACTGGACTTATGGCACTAGAATCGATCATTGCATGGTGGAATCGATTCTGTCATTGCCACTGAAGTGCTTCATCAGAAAAAGCTACCATTTTAATGTACAGCACTTCAAAAACCTAAGAAAGACTGATACCTCAAGAGATTGGTTTCTCAATTGCATAAAGCTCTCAGGTTGGTGGGTTATGATTTTCTTGATTTCAATGGTCCTTCACGATTAAAGAATGAAAGCGTAAACAAGACAGACCGATGGATGATATTGTATCACCTGGCATCCAAAGAAGAATGATTTCATCTCATAACTCCCGCTATCGACAAATTTGTTCATTTCGTGGAGAAGAATTTTATATGACAAACTATATTGGGATACGAAAACAAATCACGCAATTATGATTTTACAGAGATGGCGACATGAGGTTTTTTTATAATTGGAAATACAGAGGCAATAAATACCAACATTGTAGCATGTGTGTTGTATGAAAACGAAAATTTATTGCATATCTTTCTAAAATATCCAATATATATAGGAACAAGAGATCATTACTTAAGCCATTACTTCCAATTTAGTATCCTTAGAAGATCAGCTATGAAACTTTGTAAAGTTCTCATGCCTAAAAAGGATCAGTAACGTATGTAATTTTTTTAGGGAAGCATTAAAATCAAGATCATTCGATCAATGAATTAACTCAAATGAACTTGTATGTAGCAGGTAAGTAATAACATGGATCCTATATATGTAATTGCAAATATAATTGTATGGTTAAGTAAAGATAGCATAATCTTTCTTTTATTTTTAGCGAATGTAATGCTGATTTAATTTTTTAGTTCCAGAGGATTTTGATATTCTTTAGTGCAGTTATCAATTCCACGCTTAAATTCTTGTTGTTTCGATTATTTACTTATAAGTATTTTCAGTTATTTAAGTTGTTGGTTTTAGTAATAACCAGCAATCAGAGGAATTGTTCTTTTGATTTTGATACTTGCTGTATGCAGAAACGTCGATATGCAAAGACAAAAATCTATGAAAGGCCAGACCTCATGTAAATTGTACCTCATACAAAAATTACAGTGTGATTAATAATTCAAAAAAATATTGAGAGTACAGAAATCGCAGTATTTTATTATTTATTAGTATTTTCACAGGAGGACTTGTGAGAGGTGGAATGTTAACGTAGCATGAAGAAATGGATGTGGAAAACTATGGTAACGGGTATGGCGACAAACCGAGTGGAAATAGAATTTTGTCTGGTTCCAAAGAGACACGTGAGTATAGATGCAGATCCCAATGTTTTGAAGAGAGGGAAAAGGAATGGTCATCAATAAAAGATGCTGAAAGAACGAAAACTTTCCCCTCCTAGGTTATAGTTGCATAAATATAGAAATTATACACACATTTAAAACGACTAGCATCTTAATAAATCATAGAAAAAACAAACAGATCGTTTAACTTGTATTTTCGAGCAATAATAAACATTCAAGCCCTTGTGGCCTGGGTCCCGTATTTTCCCACGATGTAAATTTATTAGATTTTTTTACTTCGACCGGCATTTGTTTTATTACCTCTACCTTTAATTCCACTATTTTTCGTGGTCCGCATGACCAATTAATACAATTCAACTGATTAAAGTTTTATGTTGAGATAAAAAAGTCAGTGTCACGAGCGGGATTCGAACCCACGAACTTCGGCTTGATACGTCCCTACTCTACCACTTGAGCTATCGTGACTTCGATCCCTTGAGACGGGAGCTATAGTGACTTTGAGGTGGGAAGTTGGTGCCCGAGGGGATCGAAGTCACGTTAGCTCAAGTGGTAGAGTAGCGGCGTATCAAGCCGAAAATCGTGGGTTCGAATCCAGCTCGTGACACTGACTTTTTTATCTCAACCTAAAACTTTAATTAATTGAATTCTTTCTTTAATGCTTGACCATTCCATGTGTCATTAAAATATCATACGTCAATTAAAATAGACACTCATGTAATTTTTAAATTTGTTTTTAATTTTGTGTATATGTATTTTTTGCTCATTGTTATCTATTACCTACTTGGAGGTAGTTGTAATGTACTACAAATTAAAAAAAAAATACAAATATTTATATGCAATGCAAAAATGTTTTACGAATAAATTTAAACAAATATAATTTATTGTTTATTAAAACGATAAAATAATCATAATTACTAAAAGCTTGAAGCGTTTCAATCACCCGTAAAATAAATATAAAAATACACATTAATCAATTTATAATAAATCAAATTCTAATTAAAAAATGAATAATATATAAAAATACAGTAAATTAATATGTGGAGTAATATTTTCATATTTTAAGAAAATATACAAAATTACAAGTACAACTTAAAAACGACTTTTACAATTTCGCCCTTGTCCAGGGGCCAAACCGACCATCAAATTAATTAAAAATAATATTTACTTTAAAAACCAAAATAAATAAGAAAAATATTAATTTATGCAGTGTTCAGGAGTGAATTATGTAAAATATATTTATAATTGCAACAAATTCTTTAAAAGAACGAACATTTTTTTAAATTAAAGAAATTCATGTGTCAATTATATAATAATCACAGATTGTTGAAATTGAAAATCAAATTAATTAAAAAATAATATTTACTTTAAAAAACATAATAAATAAGAAATATATTAATCTATGCAGTATCCAGAAGTGAATTATGTAAAATATATTTATAATTGCAACAAATTCTTTAAAAGAACGAACATTTTTTTAATTAAAGAAATTCATGTGTCAATTATATAATAATCACAGATTGTTGAAATTGAAAATCAAATTAATTAAAAAATAATATTTACTTTAAAAAACATAATAAATAAGAAATATATTAATCTATGCAGTATCCAGAAGTGAATTATGTAAAATATATTTATAATTGCAACAAATTCTTTAAAAGAACGAACATTTTTTTAATTAAAGAAATTCATGTGTCAATTATATAATAATCACAGATTGTTGAAATTGAAAATCAAATTAATTAAAAAATAATATTTACTTTAAAAAACATAATAAATAAGAAATATATTAATCTATGCAGTATCCAGAAGTGAATTATGTAAAATATATTTATAATTGCAACAAATTCTTTAAAAGAACGAACATTTTTTTAATTAAAGAAATTCATGCGCCAATTACATAATAATCACAGATTGTTGAAATTGAAAAGATTGTTAAAACAAAAACACAATCAATCTCAATTAATTTCTCTCGACGTCCCCCCCCTAGTTTATAAATAAGAAGCAATTAATTCAAATAATTGTTTTATTCGTTGGGAAATAAAGATTTAATCATTTCGACGATAGATGTGTTTTAGAAATTGTAAAGTTGGTGTGAGTAGTTTAATCTCTTAAAAAAAAAAATAGTGCTTACTCATAGTTTGTTGTTTTCAACGCAAACAACAAATCGTGAGCAAGAACTGTTTTGTTAAAGAGAATGGAGGTGTTTTGTTTTAGTGTAAGTACAGAAAAGGGGGGCAGGGTATGAAAGTAATAAGCCTCACCTCTACTTCTTCGTCCTCACAAATTGGTACAAAATCCAGCCCACTGGCGATGAGGCGATGGCCTTGTGAGACATACACAGATAATCACGTACTGTGGACCATGACAACAGTTCTGTCAGTCAAGTCTTATTTGTTAGTGGCCTTCAGATAACGTGCCGTGCTGGGTGGGAGCTGGTTTCGTAGTGGGAGAAGGGAGAAACAAACATTTTGATACGGAAATAGCACTAACAGTATAAGCTCTATCTATGCATAGGTCGCCCAATACGAGATATTGGCTAGAGAACACCAAGTGAATTAGAAAAAGTTGTAAAGTCTTACGTCTTGGAATATCGAGCACTCTGGTAGTGTGAATTTATTTTTTATTTTCACCTATTCTATTCCAAACCAAAAACATATTTTTCACGAAAGTAGTCTTTATTTTTTAAAAATCGATTTCGGGGCACGTTCCCCCTCTTCAGCTGTTATGTATGCCCAGTTTCATGAAATTGTTTCGATATTGTTTAAAAAAATAAAGACTACTTTTTTTTATGAAAACTGTGTTTTTGGTTGTCCCCGTCTGTACAATAGAATGGGTCAAGCTAAAAAATAAATTAACATAACAATCTATAGATTATAATAACAGCAACAATATTATCACGATGAGATAATCGATTTTTAAGAAATAAAGATTGCTTTTTTAAGAAAAGTGTGTTTTTGGTTCTCTCCGTCTGTACAATAGAGTGGGTCAATATAAAAAATAAATTAGCATAACAACCTATAAATTAGAATAACAACAATATTATCACGATGAGATAATATAGTTTTTAATGTATGAATGTAATTTATTGGCGTGAATGGAGGGGCTTATCCCTTGCTACACCGAGGAGAAATATCGAGTACTCTGGGGTAGTGTGAATGTAATTTATTAGGTGAATGGAGGGGCTTATGCCCAATTTTCCCGAATAATAAAAAGTCTTCTGGGTAGTGAGAATGTAATTTATTAGCGTGAGTGGAGGGGCTTATCCCTTGCTACACCGAGGAGAAATATCGAGTACTCTGGGGTAGTGTGAATGTTATTTATTAGGTGAATGGAGGGGCTTATTCCCTTGTTATTATGTTTACTGCCTTTATGCGTGTATTTTTTGAATTGTAGTCTTTAGGTTTTAATAGATTAGTCGATTTATTCTCTTAAGTAGGATAAGAAAATAATAATCGGGTTAACAAAAATATAAAAAAACCTCAAGACACTTACAATAAAGTAGGTCAAAAAGAATTTTCGAATAAATAATTCAGATTCGTTTTAAAGTCCTTACATACGAATTTTCATCACGATAAAATATAAGGGACTGGAGATCGCCAAGACTGGAACAAAAACCCCAAACTTATCCACAAAATTCACCGACAGAGAAACTCCGACACACGCATCCACAGTGCGACAGAAATCATGTAGAGCCAGCACTGAAAGTGTATAGCCAAAACGCGTCGTACAGACCATTCCAGCGAGGATACGCAGTCTAAAATGAAAAAAATGGACAATTTTGAGCTGGAATTGCCAGGGAAATTTTCTTTCTCCGAATTTGGGTTTTCCACTTAAAAGTTTTAAAATGCTCTGGAGTTTATCCAAATTCAACGTTATAACAACTTACATTCACTAATTTCGTGGTCCGTTTGACCAATTAATACATTACAATTAATTAAGGTTTTTAGTTGAGATGAAAAAAGTCAATGGCACGAGCGGGATTCGAACCCACGATCTTCGGCTAGATACGCCGCTGCCCTACCACCTGAGCTATCGTGACCTCGATCCACTCGGACATCAACTCCCCATCTCAACCCCACCTTATGAGTTTTCCCTCCTTTTGCCTCCGAGGGTTCATATAACCTATGCTGTTGCCAACCCAAAAAAAAAAAAAAAAAAAAAAAAAAAAAAAAAAAAAAAAAAAAAAAAAAAAAAAAAAAAAAACAACTTTTGGAAAGCCGAATATATCTTGTTTCATCGTATGCCAAGCATATATTAAATTAAATGAAAGTTTTATTTTATTTCTTCGGTTCTAATTTATTTACATTCAAATTTGTGCCCTTAGCTGTAGTTCCCCGTATAAAGTTTCCTGTAGATCAGTGCAATCGTTTCAGAATTATCATTTTTGTAATTGTCGAAAAAAGCGAAAGGCGAACATTTTTCTGATTTTTTAATCTTTGAACTTACCTGAAACTAATAAATTAGTTTAGATAATAGAATATAGTTTATTATAATAGAAATAATAAAAACTAAAATCATCGATATTTGGTATTGTAGAAATTGAAATAGAAACATAAGAAAAACTGACCTTAATAAACCTATAATTTTAATAAAAGATCAAACCTTCAATTTTGAAAATTTCATAAGCTAATGTATTTACTTGATCAAACGTTTGATGCCAGGATCCCTTGAGTGCCCTTTCACATTTACAGTTAAATATCTTGTATCTTATTTGACATATCGGGGTTGTTTTGATCTCATTTTAAAGCTGTTAGATACTAGATACTAGACGATACTATTTAATGAATCAATTACATTACGTAAGATTTGCGTCAAAACATCGTCATCTATGTTAGAAAGGAAAAATAAAAATTACTGACAATTCATTGGTAGAAAACACTATGACAATTAGACGATGGTTAGTCTCAAATCTACATTTTTATTTTATATACATATAAAAATTGTTTTCCTTGCTTCGCTAGTTCGCTGACCGCCCTAATCGTTTATCTCGCAGCTCCAACATAAACTTAGGGTACGTTTATGTTGAGTTGCGGCCACCGATACCCCCTTTAAAGCGTTATATACACGGCTTATATATTTGTTTTCAGATATAGAAATTGTGGCCACTGTTTGTCTAAACCGTTTGGTAAATCTTGACTCATACATAAAAACCACCTCTTGTAATGCCCACAAACTTTTGTATTCAAAATATTTATTTTCCCATTTTGGTGCCTGCAATGAATGCTTGCTAACTTCAACTTTTGTAAATTTTATTCTTGACTATAACCATTCGTCATCTTAATTTGTATCTGCAAACAAGTATTCATTCGAGCTATCTATTAAATAAATTAACTTTTTTTATTTAGATCTGAAGATGTTATAATATATGACAACAGCCAGGCACGTTTTCATCATTCGATGATCATTTATCTGATCCTCACTCTGCATAAGCATGTTTAACAGTTATTTAATTTTAGATTATCTTTAATCCTCATGGGCGTAGTTCCTTGCATTACCAAGAGAGAGCGCATAAATATGATCGGTGCTGAAGTATTTTAACTAGATCATCAGATTATTCCGAGATCGTGAGATGCGGTCTGGTGTGACGTAAATTTTAGAAAAACATTTTCTTTATCGTGCCAACGTTTCGATCTTTATTGAGAACATCTTCAGGGCCTGGGTTTTATAAACATTGTTTAAATTTTACAAATACATGTAAGATGTGACAAAATGAATTTATACAATACTAGAAATTTTAGATTAAAAAAAATGAATTTATACAATGCAAAAAAAAATTTAGATAAAAAAATGAATTTATACAATACTAGAAATTTTAGATTAAAAAAAATGAATTTATACAATGCTAGACAATTTTAGATTCAAACAAAGTATTTGTACTCACTCAAAGTGTTCGTTGTCCGAGTAGAAGTGTCATTCTTGTCTGTCATGTTGATAGTGCCAGTGAGATATCGTACGTGTATAAATACGTGTAATATATACATGTATAAATTCATTTTTTTGAATCTAAAATTTTCTAGCATCGTATAAATTCATTTTTTTTATCTAAATTTTTTTTGCATTGTATAAATTCATTTTTTTTAATCTAAAATTTCTAGTATTTGTATAAATTCATTTTGTCACATCCTACATGTATTTGTAAAATTAATTACACGCATAACAGTAAAAGGAAGAAATGAAATATTGAAAATCTTACTTTACAAAAATTATAGTAGGTTCAGGGAAGGTTTTATCATCTGAGCTCTGACAAATTTAGAATATAAATTGCCAATTTATTTTTACTACGTTGAAAACAACTCAGCAGTCTTGTGTAAAGTTACACTTTTGAACATTTTTTCACATATTTTTTTCCCAATCGCGCATATTTTCAGCGATAGACAGGTAGATAATATAGATAGATGGATGGTTAGATGGAGAGGGAGTGAGCGAGAGAGGCAAGAAAGGGATAAAGAATGAGAGGGAAAAATACATAAAAAACAAGAAATATGGTGGGGGGAAAGAGAAGACATGAAAGAAAAAGAGACGGATAGAGGGAGAGTGAGAAGAGCAAAAGAGAGAAAGAAAGGCAGAAGAAGAAAGAAAGAAAGGGAGAGCGAGATATATTGGTGTATAGACAGACAGGTGGAGGAAGAAGGTAGATAAATTGAAAATGGGAGGAGGGAGAGAGAGAGAGAGAGAGAGAGGGAGGGAAAGAGAAGGAGAGAGAGTGAGTGAGAGCGAGGGAGGTGAGAAAGAGAAAAAAATTAATGAAAAAGAGACAGAAAAAGAGAAAAAGAGGGAGAGATAAAGAAATTGAGAGATAGATAGATCCGAAAAAATAAAAACTGAAGTAAATGAAAAACGAGGTATTAAGGTTTGCGCTATCCTGTTAAAGAGGCCAAAGCTCCTGCGCTGAAGGAGGATTTCGTAATAAGTAACATTTTGGAATAACCGGTATCGTCAGCTTTGAACATCATCTTGTGTGTCATTCCATCAGGAGATCGCCACTCGAAGACACCCGTCACAGTCCATACGCCATTTACGAACTCTCCTTTTTCCCTTCGTTTCGTTCCATCATCAGTTTCATACCTGAAACACAATTTTAGATTATTAAAAGCAACGAATGAGACGTGTGATCATGAGCTCAATGTCGTTTACACATTTATTTTTCTGGCACTTAACCTTTCTCATCTCATAACATATTTGAGTATATTTTCCTTCATAATTATTTTGTCGTATTTTTTTATTATTGCACTATTAGATTATAAGGACGAAATGTCAAAAGATTGCACAAATGGCGATGTGCTTGTGGAAAATAAGTTGCAACATGTCCTCGTGTCTCCTCAGTAACGAGCCGAATCTCCTGGTGAATCCGGTTTTGGAAGTCCTGCTTATGAATATGAAATACAATTAATTTAACAGCTGCATTTAAAGAGAAGTTAAAATTCCGAAAAAAATGTGTCACAAATGTTTTGGCAGGAGCGCATTGTGGCCGTACTTGGGACATGAAACACCTTAGGTCGGACTTAAAGAGATAATGTGTTTTAGAAAGAAAGCATCCCTCTATATTATTTATAAAAGATGTAAATGCAACCAGGAAGGTAATTTGGAGGGACTTAACCGGGATTATTCACGCCTATAAAACTTTGCTGCAGAAACTTACGAAAAATCGTAGCCATCGGCGCCTCTGTTTTCGTTGTGGTAGTACACAATTCTCGATCCTGCGTTTCCCAGTTTGTTGTCTATCTCTCCGACTGGAGGAGCCGAATGAGCTTCACTTAGAATAATTGCAATCAAGACCAAAGCCTGAAAAAATTAGATTAATACTCTTTCCTTTAGTATCCTTTTCCGATCCTTTAGTCTTGTTTTCTCAAATTTCGTTGATAACGAGGTCAGAAAAGAGGATAAAGATCAATAAAAGTTTTTTATTCATTTTCATTTTTATTGGATAAACACTATTGATTGAGCTATCCAATACCAAGGACAAAAGAACAAACAATATGAATCCCAAAAAGAAGTTTCACAAATTGTTACAAATTTTATGTGTGTATATTGAAAAATTTAATTATATTAGATCAATTGGCTGATTGAGTTTTGTGTTCATAAAATGAAACAATTACAGAAACCGAAAAATGAAAACGGAATTTAATAAGAAGTTCATATTAATTTGTGAAATTCTAATCTATTCGACATTACTAGCGTCTTCAGTTTTATTCTGTCGTGTCAAGAAACTGAATGTCGTCCTGAGTAGTGGGTGAAGGTTGTATACAAGCGTTCCAACCTTACCCTTTTGGGTACAAAATTGAAACATTTATGTTATTTTCGTGTATTGATATATAAATTGCAAATAATTTCAAAAAACAAAGTCTGACTTTTGTTTATTTAACCGTATCTACTTACGAGGAGCTTCATTCTTCTGATGTCCTGGTCAAGCACCGAATGTAATAATCCTGGGTGGGGGGTAGGTGTTATATGCAAGCACTCCCACCTAACCCTTCACCGAAGGATGTTTCCGCGGAAATGTTATTAATACTGATCGAAATTTATCATTTGTGCGATGTATTGAACAATAATTTACTCATTTGACATTTGAGAAGCATCTGAGAAGGTTCAGGTCTTACTAAATTTACTTTGCCAATCAACAAAATAAAAAATGTGTATCATTATGATATATAGTTTTTCTAAATAGATTAATTGTCATTTTATCATTTGTATATTTTTTAAAATAGTTTTGACTTGTCGATGTTTGTAGGAAGTACTCTTGACATCTTTTAGAATTAAAATAACTTCATACCAACCACTCTTCATTTTAAAAGTAAAATTTATATATCGACTGTTCTTTTTAAAATATTTGTTTAATCATTAATTTTTTATGTTTAAGCTTATTTCATTTATTCCTCTGTATATGTTTATTCAGAGAAATAGTCGTAGTTCCGCGCCGGCCGACCAGGATTTCTGACAATCACGATCTTAGATTTCATTAGATCATACGTCCATGGGTGAGAGGGAGGGGAGAGTCTGCATAAGCTAAAGTTTCGACCTTACTACTACTATCAAGACAGAAACCTCCATCTATTTGAATTACTATATCATTAATATAAAACGAGAGAAACCTCAAACCACCAAGACACCACACACTGCAGAAACTATTGAAAGACTTTTGTAGTCGAATGGATCTTCTGAAACAGCTTAAATCTGCCCACTCGAGGCAAAACGGGATTATTGAAAATTATGGACAGAATATTTCGATAAATCTGTTACGTAACGACAGCAATGTCAACCAACGCTGCCGTGCTGGACCTACAGGATCAAGAGAAAAACAGAAGAGAAGGACAGTCCTACGCAGTACGCGGTACCGTGAACATATGCCAAAATAAGAGAACACATTTATCAACGGTGAGCCATAAAAAAATAACCATTCAAAAGAAAGGAATCTATTTTCAATATTTGAATTCTAAAATACAATAAACTCGTTGACACCCGAGAATCAGGCCTCTACTTATCTTTGCGTGGAATTGGAAATTTTCTGCCTATCCAACATAATTAAATAATTTTTATAAAAACTCATAAATTCTTTGATCTCGTTTAATTTGGATTATATTAAAATAAGAATGTTGTAATTAATATAACGACGAAATTACATATAATTAGTTTTAAATAAACTACAAAAATTATGGGTGTCCTGTTTTGACGCGACCCGACGAAAAGGGTGTAATTTTACGAGCAAAACCATGAAATAAATTGTTAGTTAATTTTATGAGCAAAACCGTGTAATAAATTGTTAGTTAAATTCATTATATCCAAAAATGGTATTCCGGTGATTTGATCAATTCTCTAAAACGTTAAAATTAATTTCTTAAAATAAAAAGTAATACATTTTTGATCTCGGTTAATTTGGTTTATATTAAAATAAGAATATTGTAATTAATATAACGACCAAATTATATATACAGTTTTTTTTAACTTTTAGGAGGGTTCGCAACAGCAGAGGTCATATAAACCCTCAAGGTGCCGGTGGTTTGAAAAAAGCCCATATGGAAGTATGTCGGGTTCGAACCCGGGAACTGCATTCGAACCCGGGACCTTTACCTTACAGTGATGAGCGCCGTGTCAACACCTGAACCATTGTGGCCACCGACGCCCCCGTATATATACATAGTTTGAAATAAAAATATGAGTGTCCGGTTCTTTTGTCTTCGACTGTACTCGATGCGACCTGACGAAAATCTGAACAGTGGGAATCGCAGAGCGTAGCGTAAGGTTAGAGTGCCATAGCATCGGGCAGAAGTGCACAGGGGTAATACAATCTTATTGAAAAATCGACTTTGGAGTTGCGTCGGTAGCATCGGGTAGTGTCGCATGGCCTTGCATCGGGTAAGTGTGTTCCCGGCTTAAGGGCTGAAATGTACAAGCAATACTACTTCGTATGTTAAAACAGAAAAATCCTTGTGCACAGTAGCCGTAAGATCCTGCGATATAAGGACCACACACCTCCTTGAAATAGTCTTAAAGCTTGGCTCAACTATTCCGATTATTCAGACTATTCATCTACAACAGAGGACTATCAGTCTGGCACTAGGGCTTCCTTTGGAAACCAAAGAACAACCGCCCTCAAGCATACTGAGATCATATCTAACGGACCAATGTTGTTCAGTACGAAGTAGGGCGGATTTTCCTCAGTGAAGCATATATTACCCATCTATTTTTTAATATACACTGCACTCCTTCCTACAAGTGTTAACATTTTAAAACATATTCTGATGATACAGCGATCCTTACAAGTAATTCAGACCATATACACTAAACATATACAACAACACCTGAATTAATTAACAGTACTGTTCACAAAATGGAGAATGAAAATAAATCTAAATCGTCATAGACTCTCTTTCTTCGCAATTGCTCTTCATGGGCCCGGAACCCCAACAGAAGCCTCGCAGGTTCTCGTAGGTGCCTGCTACTACTCAAGGGTTATTCCAACACCCACTCGGAAGCTTGTAGAGTTCGGTAACTTGAGGATTTGTTAATCAGTTCAATAACGATCGATGGTTGCCCTTGGTGAGCGACAGGGACCCAAGAATTTCACAAGGTCACCCCTGCAGGTGCCTGCTACTTTCCCAGAGCCAACCGTCGCCCTCAGAGCCAAGAGACAGTACTCCACCGCCAAGCCATGACTACATTGGAGAATTAACAGGAGAGCGGTATATACCCTCTCCTTTGCTTACTGATCTCGGCGTTCGACCACAACCCTCAGGTCTTCGCAGGAAAGCCATTACGGCCAGCCGCTACTAACCCAAGGGCCGCAGAACGCCCACTCGAGAGCCAGTTACTCCCATGTGCAGGCCTCGGGCCCGCGCTGAAAGTACCTGACTTAATTAACAGTACACAAACAACAGTTCACAAAATAGAGAATGAAAATAAATCTAAAGAAAACGCGCGTGAGTAAATGTAATCCCATTGCCCACCGCCTTCCTTTTTCGTTATCTTAGACTTTTCGCGGATAAACGACTGACTTTGAATCCCCATACAAGACTGAAAAGAAAAAAACAAACCGACGTTATAAATGATTAAAAAAACTACTCGATTCACGACCAAAATTACTTCCAACACCTGACCTCTCTGGGCGTACGGTTGTGAAGTGCTGGGCTCAATCAAGGATTCCAATTTACAACGGCCTTCACATCCCGTTTGTACAAGACCTCATCAAAACACGCTATGAAAAATACCAATAGTCACTAAGCATCCACAATAATCTGCTAGTACGACAATGATCACTTACAGACGATTGAAGCGAAAGTGATCGAGAACTTCTCAGCGAGTCACTAATTACAAGAGACGACACAATCGGCATATATAGAAAATATTTATTTAATCCAATGTTTGTAGTTGTATTAATTAATAAATTTAATAAAAAACTAAAAAAACTATAATTAACATTTGTTTCGTTATTAACAATTGAAATAGTGAAATTATCTCACCTCTCTACTACTTTTATCCGCCACCACTTGGCATGACAAAATGATCCAAATTTAATTGATCCCCTTTCTATACTACTCCAAATCTTTTCGTTCCCTAAAAGTATTTTTATCCCAAATAACATAGAATTTACGCTAAGTAGTTCACAAAACTTTTAAGTAAAGTTGACTAGAAAGTTTTTTTTTAAATTTGAATGTTCTAGCAGGGTTGTATAACGCAAAAAGTAGGATTTACATGCGTAAATTTTTTCCTCATAGGAAATACGATCTAAAAGAGGTATTTACGGTAAATCTAAAACCGAAAATAGGAATGAACGGCGCAAACCCACCCTACGATCGGTCTGAACTTCCTATTTCTACTTCGTTTAAAAAATCAAAGTGTACGTTGACGGTCATAAGTGGTGCGATAATCCGCATGTGGTCAAAATTTGCATAATTGGACAAACCCAGAAAGTATATAATGAAATCAATTAAAAAACCTATTTACTAGGACATAGAATTTGGTGAAATGTGAACACATTAAAGACACATTAGTACAACAATTGAATTTATACAAAAGGTCTAAACATTAAAATTCCAAAGAACAATCGGGTTTTTGACCTTATTAAGTTTTGCCCCAGAGTGCAGAAACACTAAGCTATACGGTCAAAGTTGTTAGACAAAACTTCGAAAAAGCACATCTTTTTATTGTTTTAATTTGACTGACCGTAAGTTGAATATTTCATGAACTTCCAACTAGTTTATTTCTGAATCCAACCTTGAAAACTTTGAAATCTTTTAGAATATTATACAACCGTATATTTTAAGTATAATGTGGTTGTGTATATTGTCTATCCATTCAGTAATTTTATTAGGAACAAGTCTTGTAAAGGGGACCGCAGTTGCCGGGGTCAGCGTGATAGAACTCCCGGTCCTGGGTTCGATTCTCACGTCGCCCTTGGTCTTTTTTTCACGCTACCCTTCCCACCAATTACATATGTATGATGAAACAATACGTACCTACGCTAAAAAAAGTAAATAAACAATTTACTCATTCGATTTTTTTATGTTAGAGGCGACTTCCATGTTGCAAATATTTTAGTAAAGGCTTGCAACATTAATTCAAGAAAAAAAAAACACGTTTTATGTAAAATTAAACTTTCATTCTTCCCCAGATGCGTTATTATCTGTAGATTTAGCTTTAATTGTTTTATAAATAGTGAAAACTTTAGATCGAAAGGGTTGGAGACGTTGTATAATGTAACGTTTAGCGGTTTCCCACAATTCTATATCCTATTTCCAAATCGGTTGTAGTAGCGTTTGTAAATTGTAAGTGTGAGTGGAGGGCTTATCTGCAATTACCCCGAGGAGGAATATCGAGTACTTTGGGGGAGTGTGAATGTAATTTATTAGCGTGAGTGGAGGAGCTTATCCCCAATTACACCGAGGAGGAATATCGAGTATTTTGGGGTAGTGCGAATGTAATGTATTAAGAACTTTGTTTTAATCAAATTGTTCCTCCCATTACTGGCTAACAATTAACTCAAACACGGTAACTCAGCCCTTTTTCATTTCCATTACAGAAAGTTCACCACTACTACGAGCCAATCCGCACCTGTTTTTCGCAGGCTTACCCCCAATTACCACGAGGAAGAATATCAAGTACTCTGGGGAAGTATGAATACTTATTAGCGTGAATGGAAAGGCTTATTCTCAATTTTCCTGAAAAATAAAAAGTACTCTGGGGTAGTCTGAACGTACGAATGTTATTTATGAGTGTAAATGGATCCTAGATCGAAAATAATTGGGCACTTGCCTGAGCATTTTTGCATATGGTACTAGAATTTAAAAAAAATAATTTAAACTTTTTTAAAATATGTTTACTGCCTTTATTAGGCGTGTTTTTTTTTTTTAATTGTAGTCTTTAGGTTTTTATAGATCAGTCGATTTATTCTCTTGAGTAGGATAAGAAAATAATAATCGGGTTAAGGTTAGTTAACATAAATATATACAAACCGCAAGACACTTACAATAAAGTAGGTCAAAAAGAATTTTCGAATAAATAATTCGGATTCGTTTTAAAGTCCTTAAATACGAATTTTCATAACGATAAAATATAAGGGACAGGAGATCGCCAAGACTGGAACAAAAAAACCCAAACTTATCCACAAAATTCACCGGCAGAGAAACTCCGACACAAGCATCCACAGTGCGACAGAAATCACGTAGAGCCAGCACTAAAAGTGTATAGCCAAAACGCGTCGTACAGACCATTCCAGCGAGAATAGGCAGTCTAAAATGAAAAAATGGACAATTTTGAGCTGGATTTGCCAGGGAAATTTTCTTTCTCCGAATTTGGGTTTTCCACGTAAAAGTTTTAAAATACTCTGGAGTTTATCCAAATTCAACGTTATAACAACTTATAGTCCGTCAAATTAAAACCATGAAAAATGCTTTTTCGAAGATTTGCTAACGCCTTTCACCGTGTAGCTTACTGTTTCTGCACCATGGAAAAAAACTGAATAAGGTCAAAAACCCAATTATTCTTTATTGAAATTTTAATGTTTAGACCTTTTGTATAAATTCATTACAATTTCATTAATTTCGTGGTCCGCTTGACCAATTAACACATTACAATTAATTAAGGTTTTTAGTTGAGATGAAAAAAAGTCAATGGCACGAGCGGGATTCGAACCCACGATCTTCGGCTAGATACGCCGCTGCTCTACCACCTAAGCTATCGTGACCTCGATCCACTCGGACATCAACTCCCCATCTCAACCCCACCTTATGAGTTTTCCCTCCTTTTTGCCATTTTTCAATTAATGAATTTAATGAATTAAAATGAAGTACACTTCACTAAAGCTCTCCGTGGCCATTTCATTTGTCGCCGAAAATCTAATCCGATTACACGACATTTGAAAAATGGCAAAAGGAGGGAAAACTCATAAGGTGGGGATGAGATGGGAGTTGGTGTCCGAGTAGATCGAGGTCACGAGAGCTCAAGTGGTAGAGTAGCGGCGTATCTAGCCGAAGGTCGTGTGTTCGAATCCTGCTCGTGCCATTGACTTTTTATCTCAACTAAAAACCTTAATTAATTGTAATGTTATAACAACTGTTTTGGGGGGCGTCGCTGGCCGCAACGGTTTAGGCGTTGACACGGCGCTCACCACTGTAAGGTAAAGGTCCTCTGTTCGAAATCGACATACTTACAAATGTTTTTTTTTCCAAAAACATCGGCACTCCGAGGGTTCATATAACCTATGCTGTTGCGAACCCTCGTAACAAAAAAAAAGATAAAAAAGCAACTGTTGGAAAGCCGAATATATCTTGTTTCATCGTATGCCAAGCATATATTAAATTACATAATTGAAAGTTTTATTTTATTTCTCCGGTTCTAATTTATTTACATACACCAAATTTGTGCCCTTAGCTGTAGTTCCCCGTATAAAGTTTCCTGTAGATCAGTGCAATCGTTTCAAAATTATCATTTTTGAAATTGTCGAAAAAAGCGAAAGACGAACATTTTTCTGATTTTTTACCTGAAACTAATAAAAACTAAAATCATCGATTTTTGGTACTGTAGAAATTGAAATAGAAACATAAGAAAAACTGACTTTAATAAACCTATAATTTTAATAAAAGATCAAACCTTCAACTTTGAAAATGTCATAAACTAATGTATTTACTTGATCAAACGTTTGATGCCAGGGTGCCTTGAGTGCCCGTGGTTATCTTTCACATTTACATTTAAATATCTTGTATCTTATTTGACATATCGGGATTGTTTTGATCTCATTTTAAAGCTGTTAGAAGATTCTATCTAATTAATCAATTACATTATGTAAGATTTGCGTCAAAACATCGTCATCTATGTTAGAAAGGAAAAATAAAAATTACTGCAAATTCATTGATAGAAAACATTATGACAATAGTCTTAAATCTACATTTCTATTTTCTATACATAGAAAAATTGTTTTCCTTGCTTCGCTAGTTCGCTGACCGCCCTAATCGTTTATCTCGCAGCTCCAACATAACCTTAGGGTACGTTTATGTTGCGTTGCGGCCACCGATACCCCCTTTAAAGCGTTATATACATTCTCGGCTTATACATTTGTTTTCAGATTTAGAAATTGCGGCCACTGTTTGTCTAAACCGTTTGATAAGTATTGATGCATCCATAAAACCTGCTTGTTATATCCATAATTTTTTGTATTCAAAATATTTATTTTCCCATTTTGGTGCCTGCACTGAATGCTTGTTAACTTCAACTTTTGTAAATTTTATTCTTGACTATAACTATTCGTAACATAAATCTTAATTTCTATCTGCAAACAAGTATTTGTCATTCGAGTCATCTATTAGAAAAACTGACTTGTTTTATGTAGATCTGAAGATGTTATAATATGTTTTTTATTATCGTTTTATTCATCCGATGATCATTTACCTGATCCTCACTCTTAATAAGCATGTTTAACAGTTATTTAATTTTAGATTATCTTTAATCCTCATGGGCGTAGTTCCTTGCATTACCAAGAGAGAGCGCATAAATATGATCGGTGCTGAAGTATTTTAACTAGATCATCAGATTATTCGTGAGATGCGGTCTCTTGTGACGTAAGTTTTAGAAAAACATTTTCTTAATCGTGGCAACGTTTCGATCTTTATTGAGAACATCTTCAGGGCCTGGGATTTATAAATATTGTTTAAATTTTACAAATTCATGTAGGTTGTGACAAAATGAATGTAAACAATACTAGAAATTTTAGATTAAACAAATTGAATTTATACAATGCTAAAAAAATTTAGATTAAAAAAATGTATAAATGTATAAATCCCAGGCCCTGAAGATGTTCTCTATAACGATCTAAATGTTGGCACGACAAAGAAAATGTTTTTCTAAAACCTACGTCACACCAGATCGCGTCTCAAGATCTCTGAATAATTATTCACTAACAGTAATTATGTACTAACCACTACACATATATCATCAGATTTGATTTAGTTGTAATAATCTAATTGCACGCATAACAGTAAAAGGAAGAAATGAAAAATTGAAAATTTTACTTTAAAGAAATTATAATAGGTTCAGGAAAGGTTTTATCATCTGAGCTCTGACAAATTTAGAATATAAATTACCAATTTATTTTTATTACGTTAAAAAAAACCCAGCAGTCTTGTGTAAAGTTGCATTTTTGAACTTCTAAGATTTTTTTTACATATTTTTTTTCCAATCGCATATATTTTCAGTGATAAATAGGTAGATAATATAGATAGATGGATGGATAGATAGAGAGGGAGTGAGCGAGAGAGGCAAAAAGGGAGAAAGAATGAGGGAGGGAAAAATACATAAAAAAAACAAGAAATAGAGTGAGGGGGAAAGAGAAGACATGAAAGACAAAGAAACAGAAAGAGGGAGAGTGAGAAGAGAAAAATAGAGAAAGAAAGACAGAAGAAGAAAAAAAAAAGAGAGAGCGAGATATATTGGTGTATAGACAGACAGGTGGAGGAAGAAGGTAGATAAATTGAAAATGAGAGGAGAGAGAATAAATGAGAGAGAGAGGAAGCGAGGGAGAGAGAGCGAGAAGAGGGAGAGAGAAACAAGAAATAAAGAGGGGGAAAAGAGAAAAAATGAATGAAAAAGTGAGAGAAAATAAGGCCAGAGTTAGGGATGGTTAAGGCCCGTATTGAACGTCGTCTTTTGTGTTTTTCCATCGGCAGATCGCCACTCGAAGACACCGCTCACCGTCCATACGCCATTTACGAATTCTCCTTTTTCCCTTCGTTTCGATCCATTATGAAGTTCATACCTGAAAGCCATTTCAAAATATTAAAAACAACAATTGAGACGTGTGACAGCTCAATGTCGTTTACACATTTATTTTTCTGGCATTAACCTTTTGACATCTCATAACATATTTGAGTACATTTTCCTTCATAATCATTTTGTCCTATTTTTTTATTATTGCTCTACTAGATTATAAGGACGAAATGTCAAAAGATTGCACAAATGGCGATGTGCTTGCGAAAAATAAGTTGTAATATGTTTTTGTTTTCCTCGTGTTTCCTTAGCATGTGACAGTAACGAGCCGAATCTCTTGGTGAATCCGGTTTTGGAAGTCCTGCTTATGAATATGAAATACAATTCATTTAACAGATGCATTTAAAGAGAAGTTAAAATTCCGTAAAAATATGTCACAAACATGTTTTGGCAGGAGGGCATTGTGGCCGTACTTGGGACATGATATACTTTAGTTTGGACCTAAGAAAGCAAGCATCGCATTATGTTGTTTATACAGGATGTAAATGCAATCAGGAAGCCTATTTGAAGGGAGTTAACCCTTTCAGGCCCAAAAAACTTTACTGTAGAAACTTACGAAAAATCGTAGCCATCGACGCCTCTGTTTTCCTTGTGATAGTACACAAATCCCGATCCTGCGTTTTCCCGTCTGTTGTCTACATATCCGCCTGGAGGAGCCGAATGAGCTTCACTTGGAATAATTGCAATCAAGGCTAAAGCCTGAAAAAAGAAGATTAATACTCTTTCCTTTACTATCCTTTTCCGATCTTGCTTTGTTTTCTCAAATTTCGTTGTTAACCAGGTCAGAAAAGAGGATAAACATCAATAAAAGTTTTTTTTTTCAGTTTCATTTTAATTGGTTAAACACTATTGATTGAGCTATCCCAGACCAAGGCCAAAAGAACAAACAAGATGAATCCCAAAAAGAAGTTTGACAAATACAAATTTTATGTGCGATTGGCAACTGTTACATGACGGTTTCCAGGGAGGGCAACTGTACACGCCTAAGAAGCCATGGTATCAAGGGTTTAAGGGTTCGAGGCGTTTTTTTCTCCACGATGGTTCGAATACGTACAAATCACGGGTTATGAGGCGCGCATAGATTCAGAATAGTAGTGAGAGACCGCCCAAATTGCGCGACTTGTGATCAACCAGAAGACCTCAATCTCTTGATTATGGAATGCCCGGAACACGAGGAGAGGAAAAAAATTTTCCTGGAGAGGATCTATTCCTTGCAGTGTGTAGCAAAACCATTCAGTTTGGAGTCCCTAATTTCAGAAGGTAGAGACGTCGTTTACATGCTTCTATATCAATTCACTGAGGGGGGGTAAAATAAATATTTGAACAGTCAACTCTCCGGGGGCGGGGTCTAGGGGACCTCAGTGCTTTGAGGCCATGTATGAATGACTTCTTACTCCGGAAAATTTTTATCCTTTTTGACTTTTGAGTCAAGTAATTGTTTCTGACTTTTGTGTTGTGTTGTCTGGGTGTTGGGTGACGGGTGCGGGGTGGGGGGCTGCTCGTACTTTCTGGGCGATGTTTACCCCCGAGCGTAGGGAGACGTAGACTTTTCTAAATAGATTTTTGGGTAAATGGTTTTTATGGTTTTTATCTACGTCTTCCAGGTGCCTTCGCAATTATATATAATTTAGGGAAAAAAAAAAAAAAGGAAGCATTGCAGCTCATACCGCTGCGTGGTCGTGGTCTGTCGCTGTCCGGGACGCGGCGGCTTCTCCTCGTCGGTTTCCCCCGCTTAATAGCCATCACGGATTGACGGCATGGCTGATGTGTGGTTGCACAAGGCCACAAAACAAATAAATAAATAA